CATGGGAAAACATGAAAATTGCCGGCTTCTGGCCCGGCTAAAACCCAGGGGCCAGAAGCCGGCATGGGAAAAAAATGAAAATTGCCGGCTTCTGGCCCGGTTTCCACTACTGACATGAACCCAGCGATAGGTGACTTAAATGGGGATTTCGATGAGGATTCAATATATAACTTATTTAAGAATATTCTAAACAAAGCACAGGAACGTAGTATACCATACAAATTGAATAGATCGAATACTAACACTTTCGCGCTCCGTGGAAACTCGCGGTTGACAGGGGGATCGTGGCCCCTCCGTGCGGGTAAGCGCGCGGTGACACTCAAATGTGTATACTCGTTCCAGTTTTCTCACCTTAATTCTCGCGCTACGTCGCTCGTTCTGGTATCATTGTGTTCGCAATTAAATTCTCTACAGGTGTGTATAAATATAATGTCCAAAAGCCTAGCGTGACTCCCAACAGCAAAGCGTAAAGTCGGCAAAAACGCACAAAATCAGTAACATGTGCATTCTCGTTCCATTTTTTTACCTTAATTCTCGTGCTACGTCGCTCATTTTGGTATCATTGTGTTCGCAATTAAATTACCTACAGATGTGTATGAATAAAATGTACAAAAGGCTGGAGTGCCTCCCCGCAGAAAAGCCTAAAGTTACCCATGAACGAGCACCATTTTGTACATTGCAACCTAATGTTCAACTCGTTCAATTTGATAACATCAAATTTCATGCTACGTCGCTCGTTTTGGTATCAAATTGTTCGCAATAAAAAGGCGAGTATTTTAAAACTAGTCCCAGAATAATAGAGCAATAACTGGATTTTTAACAAATATTTTAATTCTGGATGCTCATCATCACAAATTTATTTATATCTTTCCAGTGTTCTGACATAAATATTTGTGTTACATCTTTCATTTTGGTATCAAAGTGTTCGCAATAAAACGGCGCGCATTTTAAAACTAGTCCCAAGATAATAGGACAATAAATAGAATTTTAACAATTATTTTAATATTCGGACTATAGGCCTATTTATAATATTTCAAGTGTTTGGACATCAAGTTTCATGTTATATCTTTGATTTTGGTATCAAATTGTGTGCAATCTAAAGGCGCTTATTTTAAAACCACTACCAGATTGATCTGATAAAATTTAAATTTTTAAAAAATATTTTAATGAGTGACTCAGTATTGCGTCGTTGGAACACATTCAGTAGAAAAATGAGTGACCAGATAATCAGTCTGTGGAACCTCAAAGTGTGTAATGACTCAAAGTGGATAACAAAGAATTTGAAGAACCTTATAGGTAAAAAGAGAGCTTGGTACAAAAGGATTAAAAATGGGGAGGTCACTTTAGAACAGGAATTCGTACAACTGGTTAGAAATGTTAAAAAAGTGATAAGGAAAGCAAAAAGAAACTATGAAGTTCGCATAGCAGGGCAAGCAAAGACAAATCCTAAAGGGTTTTTTCAGTTATATCGTACTAAGACTAGGGAAAGGATAGATCCATTAAAAACTGAGACAGGTCAAATAACAGATAGTGATGAAGAGATGAGTAGTATTTTTAATAAATATTTTGTATCTGTATTTACTAAAGAGGAACTTAACAATATGCCTTCAGCCGAACAAGTCTATGTGGGTGGGGACGAGGACAGGTTGACGAGTTTAGCAGTTACCAGGGAGGATGTTCTTCAACAAATAGTAAAACTCAAACCAAACAAATCCCCAGGGCCGGATGAAGTGTTTGCCAGGGTGCTTAAAGAATGCAAAAAGGAGCTTTGTGACCTTGTGTCACAAAGCGACCAGTGACAATTCCAGTGACCTTTGTTGACTTTGTGTCAACCATATTTAATAAATCAATAAAGTCAGGCAGAGTGCCAGAGTTTTGGAAAGTTGCTAATGTGATACCAGTTTTTAAGAAAGGAGATAGATCACTTGCGTCTAACTATTGACCAATTAGCCTTACGTCTATTGTGGGAAAGTTACTCGAATCTATAATAGCAAATAAAATTCGTCTTCATCTTGAAAAACATAAATTAATAATTGAGTCGCAACATGGTTTTATAAATGGCCGTTCATGTTTAACAAATTTGTTATCTTTTTATTCTAGCATAGTTGAGGCAGTTGATAGTGGTAAGGAATGTGATGTTGTGTACCTTGACTTTAGCAAAGCTTTTGATACAGTGCCACATGAAAGACTGATTAAAAAGATAGAGTCTCATGGTATTGGGGGTGCTATATTAAGCTGGATTAGGGCATGGCTATACCAAAGGAAACAGAGAGTTAGTATAAATGGAATCAAGTCAGAGTGGGAAAGTGTTGTAAGTGGAGTGCCTCAAGGCTCTGTCCTGGGACCTCTGTTGTTTATAATATATATAAATGATTTAGATTCAGGTTTGAGTAGCAACATTTGCAAATTTGCCGATGATACGAAAATCGGTAGGGAAATTAATTCGGAGGAGGACTCACTATCACTTCAAGTTGATCTAGATAGGGTTTTGAAATGGTCAAAGGATTGGCAGATGCAGTTTAATGCTGATAAATGTAGAGTTCTGAGGTTAGGTAATGATGATAGAGTTACAAGATACGAGCTAGATGGTGTTGAGATTGCGAAGTCGGATTGCGAAAGGGATCTGGGAGTTATGATTAGTAAGAATTTAAAACAAAAGGATCAATGCATAAATGTTCGTAATAAGGCAAATCGGACACTTGGATTAATTAATCGCAGCGTTAGTAACAAGACACCTGGTGTGGTTCTCAAGCTATATCTTGCTCTAGTTAGGCCCCATTTAGATTATACAGTTCAGTTTTGGTCGCCATATTATAGAATGGATATAAATTCACTTGAACGTGTCCAGCGTAGGATGACTAAGTTAATTCCCCAAATTATAAATCGTTAATTTTATTTCTTAGACTTCTACTGTTAGTGTAATATATCCTAAGTGAATTGTTATTTTGAGGCCCTTCTCTTTCCTTGATCATTTTGCCAATTCCTTTCTCCCACAAACACATACTTTTATTATCTCCTTCCTCCAAATCAATTCCCATACCTCTATCTACTAACAGTTTAAACCCAAACAAACACCTCTAACCACTTCTTCCAACGAGTTCGCAACAGCAACAACCCCAGCCCTCGATAGATGCACCCCATCACGAGCATACATTTCATTTCTTCCATAGAAGTGTTCCCAGTTGTCTATGAAAGATATTGCATTTGATTTGCAATATCTTTCCAGCCGGCAATTGACACCAATTGCCCTCGACAACCATTCATTTCCCACTCCCTTTCTTGGAAGAATGCCACATATGATCGGGATTCCTCCCTTGCTCCTAACTAATTCAATGGCTGTCCTAAATCTCTGTATTACTTCCTCACTCCTAACTCGCCCAACATCATTACCCCCTGCACTAACACAAATAATGGGTTTGTTCCCATTTCCTGTCATAATATCATTCATGTTTCCAACAATATTACCAATTCTAGCTCCCGGATAGCAAACTCTTAATCTGTTTCCCCTATCTCTGGCACAAACGTTCTGTCTAAATACCTCACCTAGGAATCTCCCACAACCAAAATTCGCTTCGATTCTCCCTTTTCCTTTCGAGCAGTTTGAGGGACCTGCGCTTCAATGCTCCTTGTTGCTTTGTCTTTGCCACCTCGTTGAACAACAGGTTCAACACAGCACTCGTCCTCTAATACGTCAAATGCATTAAAAGTCCAATATCAGCTGCCTTGTGTGGACCAATAGCAGCTGGCTCGTATGGACCAATTGCAGCTGCCTCGTATGGACCAATAGCAGCTGCCTCATATTGACCAATAGCAGCTGCCTCGTGTGGACCAATAGCAGCTGCCTCGTATGGACCAATAGCAGCTGCCTCATATGGACCAATAGCAGCTGCCTCGTATGGGCCAATAGCAGCTGCCTCGTATGGGCCACGAAACCATCTGCAGTTTCCTTTATTAAAACTAAAATTGAAATTTATTGAAATTTATTCAAAACTTTATGATATGCTTTGAATTAGATTTAGAGACAATTTAATAAGTTTCTGGCAAAGTTACGTCTGAAACTAAAGTAACAACGATTCTTTGTTCATAGTTTCCGTCTCAATCGTTTGAGCGGCTTTTAAGAAATGTTAATATCTTTACGCTTCTTAAGTTTGTCCTTCGATTATGGCGGGAAGGGTCCTGAAGGCTAAGTGGACAACGCTCGGGATTCGTAGTCGCGAGGTTCCGAGTTCGATTCCTGGCGGAAGCGAATAGACATAGTTTATTTCCGCCTGAAGCTTCTGTTCACCTAATTGTAAGTAGGTATACCTGGGAGTTAGACAGCTGCTACGGGCTGCTTGCTTGCTGGGGATGTGTAACAAAAAGGAGGCCTGGTCGAGGACCGGTCCGGGGGGACGTTGAGCATCGAAATCATCTCAAGATATCTCAAGATGACCTCAGGATAACCTGAAGATAACCTATGGACCTCAAGATAACCTCAAGATAACAACAAGATGACATCAAGATATTTCGAGATAACCTCAATATAACCTCAAGATAACCTCAAGATAACCACAAGAAAACCTCAAGATAACCTTACGATAACCTCAAGATATCCCAAGATAATCTCAAGATAACCACAAGATAACCTCAAGATAACCACATGATAACATCACGATACCCCTCAAGATATCTCAAGATAACTATCAGGAGGAAGGGAAAGGAATGTTGCCCAACCACCTTGACGATTATTTGGGGTAATATTAGTATTTTAAGTGCACATTTTACCTTTATTCTGGCTGTGGAAGGTTTCCAGAACTCCAGTGTTCTTTTTGCCCCCTTGTGCGTCTCTTTCCTCTAATTCGTCTCTTCTTTGCTTCTATCTTCCTTTATTAATTCTATCTTGTTTAACATGCTTTCTTATGCTATCTTATGTGTTCTGACATGTTTCTCTTCTGCAATCGTCTCCTTTTATCTTCTATCTTCTTCTATCTTCTATCTTCTCCTTCTATCCTCTATCTTCTATGCTTCCACACTCTTATTCCAGTCAATACTTCCAGCCCTCGAGACTGTGGAGTATCTACTTCCAGTATCTTCCAGCCCTCGAGACTGTGGAGTATCTACTTCCAGTATCTTCCAGCCCTCGAGACTATGGAGTATCTACTTCCAGTATCTTCCAGCCCTCGAGACTGTGGAGTATCTACTTCCAGTATCTTCCAGCCCTCGAGACTGTGGAGTATCTACTTGCAGTATCTTCCAGCCCTCGAGACTGTGGAGTATCTACTTCCAGTATTTTCCAGCCCTCGAGACTATGGAGTATCTACTTCCAGTATCTTCCAGCCTTCGAGACTATGGAGTATCTACTTCCAGAATCTTCCAGCTCTCGAGACTATGGAGTATCTACTTCCAGTATCTTCCAGTCCTCGAGACTATGGAGTATCTACTTCCAGAATCTTCCAGCCTTCGAGACTATGGAGTATCTACTTCCAGAATCTTCCAGCTCTCGAGACTGTGGAGTATCTACTTCCAGTATCTTCCAGCCCTCGAGACTATGGAGTATCTACTTCCAGTATCTTCCAGCCTTCGAGACTATGGAGTATCTACTTCCAGAATCTTCCAGCTCTCGAGACTATGGAGTATCTACTTCCAGAATCTTCCAGTCCTCGAGACTGCTCGTACCCCTCCAGTTCCTCACTCTGTTTTAGAGCCTCATCCGCCCAGCAAACAATTTTAAGTTGCCATAACGTCTCTGGAAAGTTTTTGAAAGTTGTGACAAGGTTTGACCTGAGGTTGCAGCAACATTGTGTACAGCAGTATAGAGGTTCACCCCAAACTACAACGTTGCTACAACATTCAAACAAGGGTTGAACGCTTCCTAACAAGTTGTAACAGCGCTCTAGTTCATCATAAAAGCGTTGTACCAAGATGTACCAACTTTTTTGTTGCGGTTGGTAATAGTAGTGGTTGTGGTTCTGGTTGGTGGTAGTGGTGGTTGTGGTTCTGGTTGGTGGTAGTAGTGGTTGTGGTTGCTTGTTGTTGTGGTTCTGGTTGGTGGTAGTAGTGGTTGTGGTTGCTTGTTGTTGTGGTTCTGGTTGGTGGTAGTAGTGGTTGTGGTTGCTTGTTGTTGTGGTTGCTGGTTGGTGGTAGTGGTGGTTGTGGTTGCTGGTTGGTGGTAGTGGTGCTTGTGGTTGCTGGTTGTTGTGGTTCTGGTTGGTGGTAGTAGTGGTTGTGGTTGCTTGTTGTTGTGGTGGTTGTGGTTGCTGGTTGTTGTGGTTCTGGTTGGTGGTAGTAGTGGTTGTGGTTCTGGTTGGTGGTAGTAGTGGTTGTGGTTGCTGGTTGTTGTGGTTCTGGTTGGTGGTAGTAGTGGTTGTGGTTCTGGTTGGTGGTAGTGGTGGTTGTGGTTGCTGGTTGTTATGGTTCTGGTTGGTGGTAGTGGTGGTTGTGGTTGCTGGTTGTTGTGGTTCTGGTTGGTGGTTGTGTATGGTGGAAGTGGTGGTTGTGGTTCTTCACAGAGCCCCATCTATCCAGAGTCTTATCTACACAGCATACCATCTATCCGGAGTCTTATCTACACAGCATACCATCTATCCGGAGTCTTATCTACACAGCATACCATCTATCCGGAGTCTTATATACACAGCATACCATCTATCCGGAGTCTTATCTACACAGCATACCATCTATCCGGAGTCTTATCTACACAGCATACCATCTATCCGGAGTCTTATCTACACAGCATACCATCTATCCGGAGTCTTATATACACAGCATACCATCTATCCGGAGTCTTATCTACACAGCATACCATCTATCCAGAGTCTTATCTACACAGCATACCATCTATCCAGAGTCTTATATACACAGCATACCATCTATCCGGAGTCTTATCTACACAGCATACCATCTATCCGGAGTCTTATATACACAGCATACCATCTATCCAGAGTCTTATCTACACAGCATACCATCTATCCGGAGTCTTATCTACACAGCATACCATCTATCCGGAGTCTTATCTACACAGCATACCATCTATCCGGAGTCTTATATACACAGCATACCATCTATCCGGAGTCTTATCTACACAGCATACCATCTATCCAGAGTCTTATCTACACAGCATACCATCTATCCAGAGTCTTATATACACAGCATACCATCTATCCGGAGTCTTATCTACACAGCATACCATCTATCCGGAGTCTTATATACACAGCATACCATCTATCCAGAGTCTTATCTACACAGCATACCATCTATCCGGAGTCTTATCTACACAGCATACCATCTATCCGGAGTCTTATCTACACAGCATACCATCTATCCGGAGTCTTATATACACAGCATACCATCTATCCGGAGTCTTATCTACACAGCATACCATCTATCCAGAGTCTTATCTACACAGCATACCATCTATCCAGAGTCTTATATACACAGCATACCATCTATCCGGAGTCTTATCTACACAGCATACCATCTATCCGGAGTCTTATATACACAGCATACCATCTATCCAGAGTCTTATCTACACAGCATACCATCTATCCGGAGTCTTATCTACACAGCATACCATCTATCCGGAGTCTTATCTACACAGCATACCATCTATCCGGAGTCTTATATACACAGCATACCATCTATCCGGAGTCTTATCTACACAGCATACCATCTATCCAGAGTCTTATCTACACAGCATACCATCTATCCAGAGTCTTATATACACAGCATACCATCTATCCGGAGTCTTATCTACACAGCATACCATCTATCCGGAGTCTTATCTACACAGCATACCATCAATCCAGAGTCTTATATACACAGCATATCATCTATCCAGAGTCTTATATACACAGCATACCATCTATCCAGAGTCTTATATACACAGCATACTATCTATCCGGAGTCTTATCTACACAGCATACCATCTATCCAGAGTCTTATCTACACAGCATACCATCTATCCGGAGTCTTATCTACACAGCATACCATCTATCCAGAGTCTTATATACACAGCATACCATCTATCCGGAGTCTTATCTACACAGCATACCATCTATCCGGAGTCTTATCTACACAGCATACCATCTATCCAGAGTCTTATATACACAGCATACCATCTATCCAGAGTCTTATATACACAGCATACCATCTATCCAGAGTCTTATATACACAGCATACCATCCATCCAGAGTCTTATATACACAGCATACCATCTATCCAGAGTCTTATATACACAGCATACCATCCATCCAGAGTCTTATATACACAGCATACCATCTATCCAGAGTCTTATCTACACGGGCCTTCACTCTCTCTCCTCATAGCCCAGTGGTCTACGTTCATCTTCCACACTCACAACCACGGCTGTTACCATGAACCAGCATTTGTCATCATGATGACGTCATATGTTGTCAGGTTGCCATGGTAACGATGCTCTCAAACGCTGTGATGCTGCATCAGCTGTGTGTTGGAGGAGAGAGAGAGAGAGAGAGAGAGAGAGAGAGAGAGGGAGAGAGAGAGAGAGAGTGAGAGCTGTGTACGGGAGGTAGTGTGAGAGAGGACTGTCCATGTAAGCCATGAGTCAACACCTAAGGTGTCAACACCTAAGGTGTCAACACCTAAGGTGTCAACACCTAAGCTGTCAACACCTAAGCTGTCAACACCAAAGGTGTCAACACCTAAGGTGTCAACACCTAAGGTGCCAACACCTAAGGTGTCAACACCTAAGGTGTCAACACCTAAAGTGTCAACACCTAAGCTGTCAACACCTAAGCTGTCAACACCAAAGGTGTCAACACCTAAGGTGTCAACACCTAAGGTGCCAACACCTAAGGTGTCAACACCTAAGGTGTCAACACCTAAGGTGCCAACACTTAAGGTGCCAACACCTAAGGTGTCAACACCTAAAGTGTCAACACCTAAGCTGTCAACACCTAAGCTGTCAACACCAAAGGTGTCAACACCTAAGGTGCCAACACCTAAGGTGTCAACACCTAAGGTGCCAACACCTAAGGTGTCAACACCTAAGGTGTCAACACCTAAGGTGCCAACACTTAAGGTGCCAACACCTAAGGTGTCAACACCTAAAGTGTCAACACCTAAGCTGTCAACACCTAAGCTGTCAACACCAAAGGTGTCAACACCTAAGGTGCCAACACCTAAGGTGTCAACACCTAAGGTGCCAACACGTAAGGTGTCAACACTTAAGGGGTCAATACCTAAGGTGCCAACACCTAAGGTGTCAACACCTAAGGTGCCAACACCTAAGGTGGCAACACCTAAGGTGCCAACACGTAAGGTGTCAACACCTAAGGGGCCAACACTTAAGGTGCCAACACCTAAGGTGTCAACACCTAAGCTGTTAACACCTAAGGTGTCAACACCTAAGGTGCCAACATGTAAGGTGTCAACACTTAAGGGGTCAATACCTAAGGTGCCAACACCTAAGGTGTCAACACCTAAGGTGCCAACACCTAAGGTGGCAACACCTAAGGTGCCAACACCTAAGGTGTCAACACCTAAGGTGCCAACACTTAAGGTGCCAACACCTAAAGTGTCAACACCTAAGCTGTTTACACCTAAGGTGACAACACCTAAGATGTCAACACCTAAGGTGCCAACACCTAAGGTGCCAACACCTAAGGTGTCAACACCTAAGGTACCAACACCTAAGGTGTCAACGCCTAAGGTGCCAACACCAAAGGTGTCAACACCTAAGGTGCCAACACTTAAGGGGTCAACACCTAAGGTGCCAACACCTAAGGTGCCAACACCTAAGGTGCCAACACCTAAGGTGTCAACACTTAAGGTGCCAACACCTAAGGTGCCAACACGTAAGGTGTCAACACCTAAGGGGTCAACACCTAAGGTGCCAACACCTAAGGTGCCTACACCTAAGGTGCCAACACCTAAGGTGCCTACACCTAAGGTGCCAACGCCTACGGTACCAGCACCTAAGGTACCAACACCTAAGGTGTCAACACCTAAGGTGTCAACACCTAAGGTACTAACCCCTAAGGTACTAACACCTAAGGTACCAACACCTAATGTAGCAATACCTAAGGTGTCAACACCTAAGGTGTCAACACCTAAGGTGTCAACACCTAAGGTGTCAACACCTAAGGTGTCAACACCTAAGGGACCAACACCTTAGATGCCAACACCTAAGGTACCAACACCTAATGTAGCAATACCTAAGGTACCAACACCTTAGGTGTCAACACTTAAGGTGCCAACACCTAAGGTACCAACACCTAAGGAGTAAACACCTAAGGAGCCAATACCTAACGTACTAACACCTAAGGTGCCAACACCTAAGGGGTCAACACCTAAGGTACCAGCACCTAAGGTCTCAACACCTAAGATACCAACACCTAAGGTGTCAACACCTAAGGTGTCAACACCTAAGGTGTCAACACCTAAGGTACCAGCACCTAAGGTTTCAACACCTAAGGTACCAACACCTAAGGTACCAACACCTAAGGTGCCAATACCTAAGTTTCGAACACCTAAGATGCCAATACCTAAGTTGCGAACACCTAAGGTGCCAACACCTATGGTTACCTTACCTTGAGGTGCTTCCGGGGCTTAGCGTCCCCGCGGCCTTGTCGTCGACCAGGCTTCCTGGTTGCTGGACTGATCAACCAGGCTGTTGGACGCGGCTGTTCGCAGCCTGACGTATTAGTCACAGCCTGGTTGATCAGGTATCCTTTGGAGGTGCTTATCCAGTTCTCTCTTGAACACTGTGAGGGGTCGGCCAGTTATGTCCCTTATGTGTAGTGCAACACCTAAGGTGCCAACACCTAAGATGCCAATACCTAAGTTGCGAACACCTAAGGTGTCAACACCTATGGTAGCAACACTTAAGGTGTCAACACCTTAGGTGTCAACACCTAAGGTGTCAACACCTAAGGTGCCAACACCTAAGATGCTAATACCTAATTTGCGAACACCTAAGGTGCCAACACCTATGGTAGCAACACTTAAGGTGTCAACACCTTAAGTGTCAACACCTAAGGTGCCAACACCTAAGGTGCCAACATCTAAGGCACCAACACCTAAGGCACCAACACCTAACAACCTCTGACCTGGTTATTAAGGCCCTCAGACCCTAACAACCTCCACCAAAGTCGATCACCAACGAGATCAAGTTCCCTGAGCTTGTGACCACAGATCACCGGTTCCCGCCGTGGTGAGTATTGACCCTTGGCACTCGAATCCCCCCACCCTACCCCCCCCCCCTAGCTCTCTCTCTCTCTCTCTCTCTCTATCTCTCTCTCTCTCTCTCTCTCTCTCTCTCTCTCTCTCTCTCTCTCTCTCTCTCTCTCTCTCTCTCTCTCTCTCTCTCTCTCTCTCTCTCTCTCTCTCTCTCTCTCTCTCTCTCTCTCTCTCTCTCTCTCTCTCTCTCTCTCTCTCTCTCTCTCTCTCTCCTCTCTCTCTCTCTCTCTCTAGGTTTTAACCCCCCATCCTTTACTGAACCATTTAACTACAACTAGTCGGCACAGAAGCTTCATCGCTTATTACAGGCCGTCGTTCGATCCCCGCTGGTGCAAGCAGTTTGGCACTGTTCCATAAATCTGTCCCCATAACCAAGTTCCTCTCCTAATATCCCATTATGAATCCCCATCACCTTTCATTAAGGACAGTCGTGAAGCAGGGAGCTCCTACTATGGCTAGAGGTGCATCTTCCGGGATAGGACACGGAGAGGATATTTGTTTCAAGATGCGCAGGTTGTTATGTTGTCTTATCCAGGGGGCTGTGATGGTGTTATCTTACCCCAGGGGCTGTGATAGTGTTATCTTACCTCAGGGGCTGTGACGGTGTTATCTTACCCCAGGGGCTGTGATGGTGTTATCTTACCCCAGGGGCTGTGATAGTGTTATCTTACCCCAGGGGCTGTGATGGTGTTATCTTACCCCAGGGGCTGTGACGGTGTTATCTTACCTCAGGGGCTGTGACGGTGTTATCTTACCCCAGTGGCTGTGACGGTGTTATCTTATCCAGGGGCTGTAATGGTGTGATCTTACCCCAGGGGCTGTCTCGGTGTTATCTTACCACAGGGGTTGTGATGGTGTAATCTTACCCCAGGGGCTGTAATAGTGTTATCTTACCTCAGGGGCTGTGACGGTGTTATCTTATCCCAGTGGCTGTGACGGTGTTATCTTATCCAGGGGCTATGATGGTGTGATCTTACCACAGGGGCTGTGATAGTGTTATCTTACCTCAGGGGCTGTGACGGTGTTATCTTACCCCAGGGGCTGTGACGGTGTTATCTTACCCCAGAGGATGTGACGGTGTTATCTTACTCCAGGGACTGTGACGGTGTTATCTTACCCCAGGGGCTGTGACGATGTTATCTTATCCGGGGGCTGTGACGGTGTTATCTTACCCCAGGGGCTGTGACGGTGTTATCTTACCCCAGGGGATGTGACGGTGTTATCTCACCCCAGGGGCTGTGACGGTGTTATTTTACCCCAGGAGCTGTGACGGTATTATCTTACCCCAGGGGCTGTGACGGTGTTATCTTACCCCAGGGGCTGTGACGGTGTTATCTTACCCCAGGGGATGTGACGGTGTTATCTCACCCCAGGAGCTGTGACGGTGTTATCTTACCCCAGGGGCTGTGACGGTGTTATCTCACCCCAGGGGCTGTGACGGTGTTATCTCACCCCAGGGGCTGTGACGGTGTTATTTTACCCCAGGAGCTGTGACGGTATTATCTTACCCCAGGGGCTGTGACGGTGTTATCTCAACCCCAGGGGCTGTGACGGTGTTATCTTACCCCAGGGGCTGTGACAGTGTTATCTTACCCCAGGGGATGTGACGGTGTTATCTCACCCCAGGAGCTGTGACGGTGTTATCTTACCCCAGGGGCTGTGACGGTGTTATCTCACCCCCAGGGGCTGTGATGGTGTTATCTTACCCCAGGGGATGTGACGGTGTTATCTCACCCCCAGGGGCTGTGATGGTGTTATCTTACCCCAGGGGCTGTGACGGTGTGATCTTACCCCAATGGATGTGACAGTGTTATCTTACCCCAGGGGCTGTGACGGTGTTATCTTACCCCAGGGGCTGTGACGGTGTTATCGTACCCCAGGGGATGTGACGGTGTTATCTCACCCCAGGGGCTGTGACGGTGTTATTTTACCCAAGGAGCTGTGACGGTATTATCTTACCCCAGGGGCTGTGACGGTGTTATCTCAACCCCAGGGACTGTGATGGTGTTATCTTACCCCAGGGGCTGTGACGGTGTTATCTCACCCCCAGGGGCTGTGATGGTGTTATCTTACCCCAGGGGCTGTGACGGTGTTATCTCACCCCAGGGGCTGTGACGGTGTTATCTTACCCCAGGGGCTGTGACGGTGTTATCTTACCCCAGGTGATGTGATGGTGTTATCTTACCCCAGGGCAGTGACGGTGTTATCTTACACCAGGGGCTGTGACAGTGTTATCTTTTCCCAGGGGCTGTGATGGAGTTATCTTACCCCAGGGGCCGTGACGGTGTTATCTTACAGGAAAAAAACGTCATTAACGGTTTACCAGACGTCGTTCAGCATTATATAATGAGCCTATATGGGCGTATATGGTATTATTTATGTGTATTATATGTGTGTATTATACATGTACCAATATAAGTATTATATATGTGGTTCAGGTCAGGCCGTTGGCGCAGGAGTGGATAGCTGTGACGGATGTTGTAACGAAATTCAATTATATATATTTTATATTCATTTATATAGTTTATACATTCATTTATACATATTTCTCTAGTCAGTGAATGTTTAATTTGAAACTAGGCAGTTTATCGTAATTTATGTGATGTTGATGACATATTATATATTACGATTTATATATTATATATATTACGATTTATATATTATATATATTACGATTTATATATTATAAATTATGCGTTATATATAGCAGTGGAGGTGGAACACTGTGGTATAGCGATAAGGAGCAGCAAATAACAGGTGACTCAACACTCACTTTTGTGGGGTAGGTCTTTGAGTTTCCCACATATATATATATATATATATATATATATATATATATATATATATATATATATATATATATATATATATATATATATATATATATAAATATATATATATATATATATATATATATACATATATATATATATATATATATATATATATATATATATATATATATATATATATATATATATATATATATGTTATTAAATATGACCGAAAAAGTAAGATTAATAATTCTAACACGAATTTTCTCAATCTTTCGTACATTACGCTTCACTGTTGGAGGTAAATCAAAAATCACTTCTCCAAAATTCATTTTTATTTCTAGTCTGACGCGAAACGGGCGCGTTTCGTAAAACTTATTACATTTTCAAAGACTTCACAAATACTTTCTACAAACACTTCTATTCAATACCCATTGTTTCTGTTCTGTCTTGTGTTGATACTTTTAATACCCTATTAATATCCCCTCATGTTCTGTCTTTGTTAATGCCACATCACTATATGCCACATCATCCCTCCCACCTCACTCAAATGTAGATATAATAGCAGAGATACGTAAGTTCTAATCAGTTGTGTATTTGTGAAGTCTTTGAAAATGTAATAAGTTTTACGAAACGCGCCCGTGTCGCGTCAGACTAGAAATAAAATGAATTTTGGAGAAGTGTTTTTGATTTACCTCCAACAGTGAAGCGTAATGTACGAAAGATTGAGAAAATTCGTGTTAGAATTATTAATCTTACTTTTTCGGTCATATTTAATAATATATGTCTACAGGAAAGACTGCTACCAAAATATACTAATATATATATGTGTATATATATAATCCCTGTGTGTACAGGGATTAGACCCGTCCACTCACGCTAGAGTTGTTCCAATAACATACAGTAATTTCTCAAAGAGCAGATGTCTATCATGTTACAGCATATTTTCGGTTTTATTTAGTTTAGTTTAATTAGGATAATAAAAAGCTATTAAAACACTGGATTTAGAAATTATTTATTAATATGAAATTTTCAAAAGTCATGGGTCACTGAACTATGACGACACACAGACGAAAGTGAGTAAAACCTCACTGTAAAGTGAGGTTTACAGTATAGTATTCTCTTATCTGTCCACCCTCACTCATCTTGTTTCATCACAGAA